TTCAATAATCTGAAGGATGAGATGCAATAAATTTACGCAGGAATGTCAATGAAGAGCTGAACATTTTGATACCTGAAATACTTAAAGGTATGCTGAAGTAGAATATATCTATTCATTTAAATTGGGCAAGATTTTTCAGAATAAAACTAAATAGTCTAAAAAGTATGAAGTTTAGAAAACTTCTGAACAGAAGCATGAAGGTCCTTCAGGAGCTGAATATTTTGATACCTAAAATAGCTGAAAGTATGCTGAAGCAGAATTTCCCCCCTTTCATTTGAATTGGGCAAGTTTTCAGAATAAAGCTAAATATTTTAAAAGTGTGATGTTTTGAAAAATTCTGAATAGAGGCATGAATGTCCTTGAAGAGCTGAACATTTTGATAACTGAAATAGCTGAAAGTATGCTGAAGTAGAATTTCCCCATTCATTTGGATGGGGTAAGAATTTCAGAATAAAGCTAAATAATTAAAAAGTATGAAGTTTAGAAAACTTCTGAATAGAAGCATGAGTGTGGTTGCTTCACATTCACACTAATAAAAATGGAAAACAAGAGTGTGGCTGCACAGCATCCACACAATAGTAAATAAAGAACAGGAGAGCATTGTGTGGATGCTCATTGCTGAGGGTCTGCCACCTAAGAGACAATGCTTTACAGCATCCACACAGTAAATACACCATGTGTTCACTGGCTCACTGTGTGTGGGGGAGGGTGGAGAGGAAGAATGGCACATTCCGTTGTAGACTCTGAGAGAGTGGGAATGTGTCTGGGTTGGAACTGAAGGAGGCTGTGGGGATCTATGGCAGGTGATAGAGAAAGAAGAGGATGGTTTTAGTGAAACTGTCAAAAGTAGCTGTGCTGAAAATGATACGGGATCCTGAGGCTCTAGAGCCAAGGACATACAATCTATTAATCATGAAAATATAGATTTTTGTATTAGAAAGTTTAGAAAGTGAACATGATGAAATCCTGAGCAGGACTGATGTTTCACCACAGATACCTCATGTTATATAGATGAGACAGCCAAGAAACCTAACTGGGTAATTCTCTGAAACATTTTTTTTCACAGTTATTTCAGAGGATTAGCCAGAAATGTCCAGAGTGCATATCTGAAGAGACTTTCACTTGGGCCTGAGATGCTTGCTTTCCTGGTGAAGCTGAGTTTAGATGGAGCCTTCAGTGTTTTGCTTTCCTCTCTGGAGACCCTCTGATTTATTTAGCAAGCTTGTGGATACTGACTGACCGTAAATGGACATATTGTGGAGTTTTCTTCTTTTACCCACTGTAGTTATTTGCTGAAAGTTGATCACCTCTGTCATCATAAGATGTTATGATGCAGGCCAGAGATTTTATTTTGATAATGACCAAAAACAGGATTTTTGATGCAGCCTTTTGTGGAACCAGTATGCCTCTATGGACAGGAGGTAAGTTGTTCACCAGTGAGCACATGCAGTGAAAGAACAGTAAAGAAGAGGAAAAAAGCATCAGTAACAGTCATGTTAGCTTGATTGAATTGCTTGTGCACAGGGGAAATACCACCGTTTATTACCAGCACTTCACTGTGCTGAAGCCCCCCAGGCAGACAACCTCTGATCTTTGAGGCCACATTGTTAATTCTCTATTATGTGGCAGCAACGCAGGGGATACACTCCCCCTGTCCTTCAAACTGGCAACACAAATGGATTCTTTCAAGTCTTCAAGCAGGCAATTTGGAAAATTGATCTGTATCAGCTCCCAGAGTTGCCAGTTAAAGAAGAGTGCTGCCTCTAGTGTGTGATTTCTTTGGCATTTTATCTCAAATGTTGTACTTTAATACTTGAAAGTCATCTTGCTTAACAAAGTTGATGTAATGGTAGTATGACTCCAATTACAGTCGGAGACTCAGATTGCAGTGCTACATTTTAAAAACTCAAATCAGATGTTTTTATTCACAAACTCTTTAGGATCGGCCTCTTATAGTACTTCAAGTCCTGAATTGCTTACTAGTGGAAGGGCACACAATCTTCTGCTT